GCCTAGCCTGCTAGTAAAGTTGAGTTGTAAACACGCGTAATTGTAAGTTGTAACGTTATTATTAGGCCTATACATACGATTGTTAACAACCGTCATTAAATTCTAAGAACAGGTTCGCATGAACCGAACCGGCTGAATCCCACCACTGGACTAGGCTGGTCATTATTATATTTAATGAATAATATAAAATAACTCGTTTAACAATAGAAATTATTACAGCAGTATCTTAACTAAATAAGAGAAAAAAATAAAAGAGGTCCTCACTTCATATAAGCCTCAACGTAACGTTTCAGGTTCCGGGGATTAATTGTCTTCTTGAGAGTTTCCGTATATTCCTGGATAAGTTTCTCCTTGTTGTCAACCATTTCTAATTGCTAAGTGATGAAATCTCATTTTAACAAGCGTGTGGAAAGGATTAAAAATTTAACAGTGTACTGAGATATTAAGGTTTAAAATTAAAATTATGATAAAGTTTAAAGATCAATCCTAACTTGCTAATGAAAAGATATTTTGTGTGTATTTTAAAGACTAATTTCCCCCCCTCAATATTTTATTTTATAATTACAACTTTTATTCTAGTGGCCTGTTAAATAGGCTTATGGTTTAGGGAGTAATGAATTTAAAATGTTTTTGTCATAGATTCAAATATTAAAACTTTAATTTTGTAGGATTATTTTAACGGTTACGATAAATTTTAATTTTAGTGTTAAAATTTGGAAATTAAACGCATTTAAAGTTTCGAGTATACATTAGTTGCAAAGATAGCGTAACTTGATGGTTTATATTTTGTAGATTCGCCACATAAATTAACTAGTGAATAAAATTATCTAAATGTCAACAACTGATTTCGATACACATGATTTTTATCAACGTTTATATTTTTCAATTTTTACTCAATTAATCTATAAAACTTTAAATACCTGCTCGTTATGACCAAGTGTATAGTATTTTTTCCCGTTAGGATCTATTAGAACACAACTGGTCTCAATAAACATCAACATTATTACAACAGGTAGAGTGCCGAAAATTGAAGACAGACAACTTTTTAAAGTGCGAGAATCATGCATTTGTGTTACAAGATTTAACGTTTCTGGACAACACATGCAGACACAAACTTTATTGAGCATGTTAAAGTATAAAAAATCAATAATGGTATTTGCACCAAGTTAAGATTTGTGTATGTTTTTCACAACAAAGTAATGTTATAAAACTAAACAAGAAGAAACAACAGTTACTTCAACAAACAATTCACGTTACCTCCTGTAGGAAGGTTGTCAGCCAATGAGAACAGCAGACATCGGAACACACATACAGATGATATAGATACAGAAGGAGATGAAATAAACACCACAAATTTAGTACATCAGCATTACACAAAGTAGCAGTAAAAAAGATACAGAATGATGCATAGAAATAGCAAAGTCGATTAGCAACTTCCAATGAGTTTCATTCATAGTAATATTAGTAAAATATGATAATTCAAGTACAAATAACATATGTGACAATGTCTTGCGTGAGACAAAATAATCTTTGTGATGGAGAAGTGTCAAACCCTTAGGGACCACTTCACGATTTTATCGAGAAAACGCGCTTCATAAACGTGAATTTGCTATTTTCTTCTTCAACGAGATGCTCTCCGAACCATTTATAACATTATTACAAGATCTCAAAATGTAAGTATCAAGTCAAAAATACATTTCGTGGGCATTACGATTATTTTCTTTCAAACAACTGTTTTATTTACAGATGTAAAAACCAAACTTCGAACATCATGTGTGTGAATTTTGTATAAGCTGAGTTTTACTTTCTTAGAAAATATAATTTTCATAAATTGCTAGTGATCTTTATCTTAGGGATAAAACATACGACCTATCTCAAGAAAGCAACCTTTTGTTTCCAAGTTACTCGAAGTTTCGCCGTGTCGTTTTTATCAGGAAAGAAGGTTTGTTTTACAGTAGTCCTGAAATAATACCTTCAGAATAATAAAGAAAGTTAGTTTCTGAAGGAAATATAACGGTTCATTCTCATCAGATTTACCTTTCAATGTGTGTTACTTTCACAAATCGTACTACCATTGTTCAAGTTAGCTACAAAAAATAACAACCTTATCCTAGTTTCAATCTTAACCGTTACTGAAAGGCAATAGAAAGACATTTACCAAATATTAAAAAAAATCATTATTTTATGTATCCATTGAAATAATTAACCAATCATATCACAGCATCGGCTGAAATTAATGGTAAAGAATATGGTAATGTCCTTTGGAATGACTAACCAATCAGTTCGTTGTAGCTCTTTGAACACTAACAAACCACATTAGACATTGTTTAGGGTAGCTTTGTGTCAAAATATATAAAGCAATAGTAAATGCTTGTTGTTAAATGTAATATTTCGTTAACGTCGTGAACGTGCGTTGTATTGATTATTCGTCTCATACAAATAAAATAATTAGACTTTGAGCCAAAACAATTCTAGGATATATTTTTACTCCCTTAATAAGAACTGGTTATAGCATGATTGTTGTTACAATTTGGAACCACATTAAATTATAAAAAACATTTTACATCAAATTATTTTCATGACCACTCATATATATTTATGTATATACATATATATCGATAACTCGACATGTTACTTTGTTTAGTACTGTTTTAATGGTGAACATAGAACGACAGTATTTTTTGCCAATGAGCGACCTTACAAACGACAATGCATCAATATTTAATGTTTTATCAGAGATTTTGTATTTTTATTCGATCACAACACCAGAAACATCACACTTTAACTGACAACAGACACATGCAGGCAGCGCCAAACCTGTATGTTATTTGTCAAACTCACCGGTCCAAATTTATGAAGAACAAGAAACTGCTCTGCCGAAGGATTCATGCCGATCGTTTGAAGTTGCCAATTCAGAATCTGTAAGAGCAAGACTGTAAGAATGACATTAAAGTTTTGTGCGATCTTAATGCCCTAGTCAAAAGATGATGCGACCTTTGAAAATGCCAAGACTTAAACTTTGAGAGCTAAAGTGACTGTTTTTAATATTGTTTTATTTTAGATAAGTTCTGAATAATTAACTATAGAGACATTAGATGCTTTTAAACGGATTAGTTCAGAAAAAAAAAGTATCAAAATATAAATGTTCGTAATAGTTCTGTTTTATAAAGTTGTCTACATTCAATAATGACAAACTTTTGTGTAAACGTATGAGAATATATTTGAGAAACTAGATGTTTATCATAATTCAGTTAAGGCGACTGTTTAGATATTTGTTTAAGTTTCGAGACAGAAACATCCATCCATCCATAATTTATCTATCTATTTGTGAACGAAACAGTAAAGCATTCACACACAAGTAAACCAATACATTTATTTCAGAAGGTAATATACATATGTATAAAGAGTTAAGACGTCATCACACAGATAGAAAATTGATTTTAATGCTTGAAATTTATGAAAACATTTTGTTAATACAAGTTTTGTGACTTAAGTGCCATTATGGTATCTCAAGATACAAAAATCACTTTTAAATTGTCTGGACGTGACCAAATGGTTAGTGTATCGGGCTGAATATATTCCGAACTTCTAGTTCTGAGCCGTTTTAGATGTGACGTTTAAGAGTAGCCAAGTAGGCTGCGCGTGCTGGTGACTGATTGTTCTTCCTATGGTTCGTAGTTCTACGTTAAAGACGGCTATGCCTAATCCGTTGGGCCTGTGAACAGGACTATTAGCACATGTTTCATAAGTTGCTGTTCAAGTTGTTGCTGTAGTTTTTAAGACACAAAAACTTTTAAGACTTGTGTTAATATTGAATTAAAAAAATTATATTAAACATATCTTGGTTGGTTGGTGGAAGTTAAGCACAAAGTTACCCAATGGGCTATCTGTGCTCTGCCCACCACGAGTATGGAAACCCGATTTTTAGCGTTATAAGCCTGCGAACGTACTGCTAAGGCAATGGGGGCTCAAAAAGATTCCATTACATTATTTAATAATAATAATAAAAAAGAGCAATTTAATTTTACCCATTACTGTGCTTGAAACCAAGTAATAAGCAAAGATTATTATACAATGATATAGGTTGTTTATTTTCATTATTATCCACAATTAAAGAGAATAAAAACTGCGTCCAGGAAATCCTTTGAGCTTTTTTATTTTTTAAGCTGATTTTAAACAGTTGGCTCGTAGACTAAAGTCTTACCTGCAGTCTGGTTACTTACAAGTCGTAGTATCGTTCTAAAAATATTACCCCTCATCACTTAACTTATGTGATTCGTCAGCTGTGAACAAGACACATTAAATACTCTATACTAGAAACACAAAATACTAAAACTATTTGTCAATGTCTACGATATAATAAAAAGTCATGCTAATGATCAGAGAGTTAGATAATCTTGACACAACGCGCTTATTCCGCAATTCCCCTTTAAACCTTTTAACAAGTGACGATGTTCACTATGAATAACCTCTTCAGTTTTAGCTACGTTGGAAAGTGGAATTAGAATTTTCAATCTGAATGGCACCCTATGCGCACATGGGCGAAACGTAAGGTTAGAGACCTCTAGATACAGGTATATCCATTCCTAATACTTACAGATAATTCTTGTTCCTTATATCATTATCTTATAACAAGCATGGAACATGTACTTTCTTTAAGATTTGAGATATATGTTTGCATCATTTTTGGGAACTTTGCTTAAGATGCTATAGCTGACGATTACATTATGAACATGTCGTAACGGATCTTTTATTAATTCTTAATAACCGAAAGGTTATATAGAAAATTATGTAAACTACATAATAACAAACTTGACTGATCTTATTTCGTACCAGAAAGGATGGAATGGAATGGAATGTTATGTTTCATCCTGTGCAGCCCCTTATGAGCAAGTGGGTAAAACGGCCAGGTCAGAGACCGCTATGATTCAGTTATAGCCGTTTCGAGTTTTGTACTATTGACCAGAGGGAAGTCACTAGTCAGTCAAATCCTCCGCTTTGTCCGACTCTTTGACTCGAATAATGGTACTGACTGTTACTTTTATAATGCGCCCACAGCTAAAAGTATATCATCATGTCTCGAACCCTGGACCCAACACACTACCCTCCTGGCTATACACGACTGAGTTACAGTTATAAAATATTAAATATAAACTAATCGAGGCCACTGGAAAATCATTTATAGTTCCATCGTAATTTACAAGTCTCTCAGTGAGACAGCGGTAAGTTTACGGGCTTACAGTGCTAAAGACCAGGGTTCAATTCTCCGTGGTAGACACACGGATAATTTAATGTGGTTTTTTTCTCTAAGACAGACGAACAACACATAATTTACAAAAGTGGATATCAAGAAATCTCTCTTTATGTTTTGGTTATATTCTTCTTTCTGGTTCTTCCTTAATAATCGTAGGAACCGTTATATAGAGAACTCGGGGCCTGGCTCCTCCGAAAAATTAGTTGAAGATCGTAACAAAACAATCAAACAAACATTAGTTCATTGCAATAAAACAGTCATAAACTTTATTATCTTGAACAGTCATCGATCTTATTTTGAAATGATAAAATATCGCACATACATCGGATTTTCCCCTTGAAGACACTAATTAAAAATAGCTAATAGACTCTGTGTTTGAGAATTGTATTTCTTCGATCAGTTTTGGATAAGCAAACTAGAATACTAAGGTAATACGACATTTGTTTGTTCATCTAGGTGCACATTTCTTCGTCTTCAGATCAACTTTAAATATATCAGTAGGATTTTCAAATTGTGTGTCTGGACATTTTAAAGAAGATTCATTAAGAGCTGAGATCAAGTGTAATCGCGGGACATATTGAAAGAGGAATAGGGTGTGGTGAGTGGAAGCGAATTTTAGTATATAAATTCCACAATAATTTGATCGAATAAAGTAAACAAAGCAGAAGAACAAAATATAAAATTGTTTGTTTTACATCTTTCTGCTAGTCATGCTTTAATATTAAGAAAAATGTGACTGTGTTGAGGGTAAATATTTTTTTTGATTCCGCTGACCTATAGCTAAAGAATGAATAGAATGTTAATACTGTTAATACAAACACATACATACAAACATACAATTCAATATATCTATATGAATACGTATATTAATATTGTTATTTTACTCATTTCGCACACAGTAAAATTCGTGTGTTAAACGTAATTTACATAAAATTATATTTTTCCCAAAAATTAATTTGTTTAAGATTGCGTGACACAACATATATTTCGATGAATGTTTTCACAGATAGTAAAGTAGAATTATAGAAGGGAAGAATCCTGTGCCACGATACGAATTTCCAATAATAACCCTGAAAATAATATGAGATGTATCTTGAGGAAAATAGTTTTTATAAACCTGTTTTACCTTATCTTTGAAATATTCCATCATTCCAACTCCTGTAGAAACACAATGAATAAGTATCAGTCCAAGAACACGAGTGGGGTTGGCAAGCTAAAATTGAAGTACAAGAAAATATGATAATTTGAATTGTTTGCTAATCTAAAGTTTATAAAAGAAATGGAAAAAAACAATCACCACAGAGGAATCTTTTCTCAAACACACATGGGTGATATTACAAATGGATATTAAACATAAACACTAATGATAAGAAGCAAAGAACAGTTCCACATATCTTCGCAAATACGGCAATTCAGAAGATAAATAACTAAATTAAAAAATCGTTTTAAGTGTATATATGTCAAAACATACATAAATACTTTTTAAGCGTCTATTGTGTCACTTAAACTGAATAAAACTTGTTTCATATTTAAGCACACACGTACATAAATGTATGTATGTAACTTACACCCATTTTTTTTAACTAGAATAAATGTTTTGTTTGTTTCTTTATGGCAAAGCTACTAAGGCTATCTACCGCTGTTTTTAATTTTGAACTGCCGATCAAACGGAAAAGTCTTTGTGAAAGGAAAAGACTGGCATTATACATATAATATCTTCTCTGGGTAAAAGTCCAGTGTTGATTCCAGAAACAGTGCATTTGAGTTAGAGCAACGTTTTGAGCACCTACAAGGCTTGTGTGTGAATAAATGCCAACAGCTTCATATTATTGTGTTTCCTTGAGAAGATGGTCCATACGTTAATAACAAGCCATCCCGACATGCCCAGAAACCTAAATGTGTCCTTCTCTACAGAAGAGGTTTCAGAAGAAGTGTAATGTAGAGAAAGGAATATACCAGATGATTCAGCGATAAAGATTCCAATGCTAGTAAAAAATAATAGACTTTGGTAACATTGATATGACAAATGTAAAATGCAGAAGTTGTCCTTGCAGATTTCAAGTCATGAGAGCCATTCGTGTATACATGTAATTATTCCTCGATGGTGGATAGCAAATCAAAACACTTAGACAGAGGAAGATCATTACATCTGTGTAAATTTAGAGCGAGACCAACCTATACTTCTTTAGTCATCAAAAGTTGTGGATAACTTTTAATAATAACTGGTTAAATTCTTCAGTTTGAATCAATGAAATTTTCTGGAATAAGCAATCAAGCAAAAAAAAAAAAAAAACATTCAGTGTTAAAAACAGTCCCAATGTACAGAAATACAGAAATAGAAACACCAGTGTTAGCCAAAGCATTACTAGGCGATTCTTGGAGATTGGTCAAACAATCTGTAGTGCAAAAACTACTGATCCAATTATTACTATTTAAGGACAGAAGGAATTTCACTGATGAAGTATGGAATTTGTCATGGATTCGTGTTTCAAAACCAATTTACGCTAATGAATAGCCACTGTTAATTTAGTTAAAATGAAATAATCATTTACACTGTCTAAAGAGTTTTCTGACAATTCAACTGGAATAAACATAATCTGTTCTGGTATTTTTACATAATTTGAGCTTCACAAATGTGAGGACGGGTCTGTATTGTAAGTCGTGGCTTTCAAAAATATTCAGGATAAAACTGTTCTCAAAAAAGCCAACTTTCATTCTGCGAATGTCTTCTGAAATGTTGCAAGATGTTAGAGATATCTCAATTTGTAAAAAAAATAATATTTTTACTAATGGAAAAGTAAAACTTACATAGGATTATTTAATAGCTCTAACTACTGCTTATCTTTGGCATTGATGAGATTATGCGTAGTTTGTCCTTCTGAATTTTTGAAAATAAACATTATATAACTTCAGCGGTAAAAAACTCAAGCTCGACCTGTAATCGGCGTGTGATCAGCGAGGTCCACAGAGATTTGTATTAAAAAGAAAACTGTGTGTATAAATGTTGTTGGCAAATATCATAAATTGGATACATTAAATTTAAATTATAATTTAGCTCAGTTTCAGACCATTCGGAATTATAATACATAACAAGCTATATATAAGTAAGACTAGAAAAACGTAAAAGATATTCAAAGAAAGAAAATGATATATAAAACAGATATTTCATAAAAATAAATAAAGTAAAATTTCAACAACAATTAACTTCTATCTAAGCGTTATGTTACGAATATATACACAAATCATGTTAACAAAATGAAAAAAAAACAGTGTTGCGTTTCAAGAAAATTTCAATACACGTTTCACTTACAGCAAACCTAACAAGAATATTGGCTCCGGCTCCTTCTCCGAACCCTACGACTAACTTGATCCTATATTACAGGAAGAGAGAAAACTTAGTCAATCAACAAATTTCAATTAACCTTAACTACAATCTGTTTTCTGTTTCGTCTAAATAGTAATTAAAAAGGTTAATTTGAACCCTGCTTCGATCTGTTTCCTCTTTCATTTAAGTGGCAGAAATAAAACATGGCGTTGTGTGTGTGTTATAAGTTTATAAGCACGTTGCTCGTGTGCTGGTATGATAGTGCACGACTGCTTTGGTGCACTTTGCACGTGTTATTGCCCTAGAGAGCTTGCCTATATACTTGTTTGTTTATTGTTTGTTGATCTCTTCAATATTGGTTATTATCTTCGCACCAGTATGTGACTATATTACACACAAATATATGTATATATGATATATACGAATTTTAGAAACCAGCTAAACAAGTATAAACATTATTACACTTCCTGACCACTATCTACGGAGCATAGCTTATTTGTAGATTCTCGTCCACTGTCCATCGGATCAATATTCACAAAAGCAACGGGAGTGGCCAATCGGCGAATAATAATACAAAATTCACGAGTTTGACTTAAAGTAGAGAAGACTTACTTCAGTTCCGCACATTTAGTATGGACTTTTAATGAGAATTTAGCAACAACATAAGTGGGCATCTGTGCTCCAAACAGGGAAGACAAGATATTTACCAACTATATGCTCAGTACAATATTGTTGAATATGATCATTTCAGTGGCGGTTCAAGTACGGTATAGAGAGTGATCAGTATATATATATATATATATATATTAACATTATATATGCA